AATTCACCATATCTCATTAATGATAAAATATTTTCTTGCACATTTTTTTGATTAATTAAGACAAAATCCATTATATTTTATATTGATTGAGTAATAATTATATTTTTTATTGTATCATATAATAATTATTATTGAAATTAATAATTATATTTTATACTAATTAATATAAAGTTAAATAAACCTAAAAAATTATATTGTAAAATTTTTTTGTTCAAGTTATTTATTCTAAAATTAATATTATATTTTTTTTTATCTAATTAAGCGATTGTTTTTCAAAAGAAAAAAATAATAATTTGTTTTAATGTTATAGTAAAATTACTTAAAATAGCATAAGTAATTGTTATAATAAATTTAATATTTCTAGCTAATTAATTGGCCATGATCCCTCAATTTTACAAAAATTACATTATTTATTATATTTAAGCAATTAATATAGTGACTCATATGCAATCAAATCATTATGTACTATTTCTTTTAACTAATGATCAAGTTTTAAACATAATACCATTACTTAACTTATAATTTAATATTATATGTATAAATTTAACTCATAATACTCTATGTTTAAAATATAATACCATTATCTAACTTATAATTTTAGTATTATATGCATACAAATAACTTATAATACTTTATTACATATGTGCAAATGCACAGGGTCTAGTACTAGTATACCCACCATCTATGATTTGATAACCGACCATTAACGCTTTTTTTTCAAACGGCAGAATCTCCCTATATATAATTGCAGAATGCGCTGAGCCTAAGTGGCAGTCTCGCATGCTTCGGAATCATACTTGGCGACAGGCTGTCTCCAAAAATTTGGAAGCACCAGACAAGTTTTTTTTTTTTTCGAAGTTCCCAATTTGAATTTGCGTGCTAATCATGGAAGAAAAAAAAGCTAATTCAACAAGACAAATTAAATAAATAAATAATTGGAAAAGAAACGATTTTTCTTGCTTTTCATCAAATCTGAAATAGATCTTGAAAATGATATATTATCTCTGGGTTTTACATATATATTTAATAAATTATATTCAAGCATTCATGAGGATATTAAGGATAAAAAATATAAAATAATCACTAAAAATAATATTTATTCTCATATAAATTGTTCATACCAAACATCATAAGAAAACAAAATGAAATATTAGGGCTTCAAATTCACACACAAATTACATATCTAGCCATTAGCCCTTTTATTAATTAGCTTCTTCATTTGTGTAATGGGTCAAGTCCATAGTTAGTCATTAGCCCTTTATCAATTATCATCTTCATTTGTGTGATGGGCTAAGTTAATATTTAGTCATTAATTCATTCATTAATTATGCCCCTTCATTTATTTAAATGGATCAAGCCCAACACAAATGCATAATATTAGAAAAAAAAATGTGGCCCCAAATAAATGGAGGCCCTAGGCATGAGCCTGGTCTGCCTCCCCCAAGAGCCGACATTGCTTGGCGAAAAAACATGTTTCGAATTTTGGTTCGGATAAAAAATAATATTATTATAAATCAATAATTTTAAGTTCGGGCATTCCAAAAATTTTGAAAAACTAACTTGTTAATTCCATAATAGTTTGACTAATATGACCCTTGAGTTGTATTAGAACCTTTGGTAATGGTATTGATTTACTAATATAACCTTGATTAGTTTTGAAAATTCTCAATCAGTTCATTAATTTCCATGAAAACCTCAAATTAACCTAATAAATACATATATTTAATTTTAGACAACTGCTGTTATTATTATTTAACTAGTATTCGACCTGTGCATTTGCACAGATGTATTGTGGGTTTTTTGTATGCATATAATGATTAATGATTTTTCTTGCACTTTTTACAGGCCAAATTTACAAATTAAGGAGCTAGAATATTTATTTTTTAAATTGCGTTTATCATATTGGATGTAATGTATATTTTGGTATATATTTTTTTTGTAAATTATTTATTATTTATTTAGGAATTTCTAATATGTTTTTTATTTTCCAAAAGAAGTTAATTTAAATGTAACCACAACAATAACATATAATCACATTAAATAGTCAACACATTATATGGTCAGTTGTAAGTAAATCAAAAGTTTAAAATAATTTCTGTAATTTTGAAGTAATTATTGTGTCGATTATCTAATAATTAAATGAGAAATTAAATAAATAAAAAAATAACGATTTTTTGAGGGAAAAAGTTATATTACCACATAGGTATAATTTAATAGATTTTATTAAATGCTCANACGAACAACTAGCACCATCACAACCTGAACCACCTCCTAACGAGATCCATCGAGGGGAAGTCGCTCAGCCCACACCCCGGCCCCCCACGCGCACTCCAACACCAAGGCTCCACCCTGGTCGCCGTCGGAAAAAACGACCTTCCCAACACCAAAAAAGGTTGAATAAGGAGGAGCCCAAGTTCAGTCCATCGCTGCCGCTGCATGAGAACCGGATCTTCCAGCTCTTGAACTCCCGCCATGGCAAACCAGATGGGTCGAAATCCACGTTGCGGAGAGAGAGGCCGAAGAGTAGCCGGATCTATGATGACAGACCAGGACAAATTAGAAGCTGGTCGGAATCATTGAGGGCGAGGGGCCACCGGAGAGGAGGCTCGCGGCGCGAAAATTTGGGAAAAAGGGCGGGGTTACTGTTTCGGGGGAATTGGGGCGAGGTTTGAAGAGATAGAAAGGAGAGCTGGAAGAATAAGATTCTTAAAAGTTGATAACCGACCATTTAACGCTTGAAATTGAATAAAATGTCACTATATTTCTTTATGTTTTTTGCGGAATATCTTGAAAATAACAGAAGTACCGTTCCTTAAATTTAGGCTCGACACAATTGTATTCAATATTTTTACTAATTTGAAAACTACAAAAGTAACCTCCCTTAACATGATCACATCCCTTACGATGTTTTGTTAACCACTAAATCAAGCCATCCATAACCCCTCTTAATATGTTTTATTAACCATTGAAAAACAACCCATCTATTTTGTTAACTGAGAACTTATCAATGATCAGTCCATATCATGAAAACATGCTAACTATTGCGAACCACCAATCAAGTCATAAGTCATCATGACAACATGTTAACCATTAAGAAACTAGAATTGTAAACGAGTCAAGCCGAGCTCAAACTCATGGTGCTCGAACTTAGTTCTTATCAAGTCAAACTTCGACTTGTTAAGTAAACAAATCAGCAAACTCGAGTTTGACTCGTTTATCAATAATAACGAGTCAAATTCGACCTTTAATTACCGATCTTGAAATTTAACGAGCCAAGACTGAAACTTAACAAACCAAACCGAGCCCGACTTGTTAATGAAACGAGCTTTAAGCGAACTCAAACTCGGCTCGTTTGAACCAAACTTGAGCCTTAACGCATCAAACCGAACCGAACCGAACCGAACTTACAAGCGACTTGTTTCATTTAACAACACTTAAGAACCACCAATCAAGCCATATCGTAAAAAGAAACCAAATGCACCTCATAAATTTCACATGTTCACCTTTAAAGTCATATCATACCTTTCGCCTCTAGTGGATCCATTCTATTCTCCCCTTTCAAGTCATACCTCAGACCGTTTTGGCTTGCCAATGAGTAATCAGTTGGTACTCATTTTGGAGGTTTAATGAAATAAGTAATCTCTCAACTCCATATCTCGAAAGTAAAACCACCAATTATAGGCTAAGATGAATAACCAAGCTTAAGTCATAAGTCACAAATAAAAACACATTGCAACCCCAAACATGTCTTAAAGTTTCCACTTTCAAGTTCACTAAGCAATTATAACAGGCAGTAGATAAAGTTGCGGACAAAAGAAAAGAACATCAAACCAAGAAATAAAAAAAATAACCCCCAAATAGTTTGATTCAAAACTACATTACATGCCCGCACTTTTTTATTCATGTCACATACCTAAGGAGACTCGCTGCCTCGAGGAGGAGAATTGGGTGCATTATTGTTATTATCATCATCATCATCAACCGGGCTCCTGTCCTCCCTTGGGCTCATGCTACGATCCTGGCCATTGGCAGCATAAGGCGGGCTCTCTTCATACCTCCTGCCAGCTGGCGGGCTTTGACTGCCCTCCTTTGGGCTTCCACTGTACTTGTCTCGCTCATTCTCTACTCGGGCCGCACCAGGCGATGGGCTTCTGTCTCCCAGCCCATCGGGAGATGGGCTCAGCTTCTTGGAAGGAGAGGTTCCCCTCTTTGGAGAACGACTATCATCACGCGAGCTTCTTGGCCGCCTTTCCTTGTAATCAGCATCACGGCCTCTTCTGGCAGCTGGGGACCTCGACCGACTGGGCCACAGTGAAAAATGCCAGATCAAAAGGGTTAAAAGCTTTTTTAAGGAATAACCGAATATATTAAGATTTTTTTATTAACTGAGGGATTTTATTGTTTACCTGTAACTTCTGCTCCTGCTGAAGCTGCGGCTCCTGCTGCGGCCACGGCGGTGAGGAGAGCGGGACCTCACAGGTGACCGTGAGTAACTTCTTCCACGTCCACTGTAAAGAATCACAAACAAAAAATTACAGATCTTTTAACAAATTCAAAAAAAGAAAACGGATGTTGGGAAAATAGTTATTACTTTTTAGGGTCCATGAAATTTTAGACCATTTTTTACCTTAGTTTCTTAGGGCTATTCTGGCAGTTCCTTTCGATGTGGCCTCGTTCACCACAGCGGTAGCACTTGTTTTTCCAGTCCCCAGCTTTGCAGTCTCGGGCCCAGTGGCCATCAATGCCACAGTTGAAGCAGCGGCCTGAGCCTGGTTCCGGGCCTCTGCCCACATACTCACGAACCCCTCCAGGTCCACGAGGCACCTGTAGGCATGGCAAAATACGAAATAAAAAATACTGCACAATGAAGAAGTAATTTTTGCAGTTTTTCAAAAAACTAGGTGGATAACGGTTGTTGTTAAACAAATAAAAAAGTAATTTTTGCTGTTTTTCAAAGACAATAGCAAGAATTTAATTAGAGAGGCACAAGAAAGTTGGTTACCCCCTTAGCAAATTCAACAATAATACGACGCCCATCAACATCTCTCCCATCCAAGCTGTACCGAGCATCATCAGCATCACGTGGATCGCTAAATTCCTGTACAATAACGAGAGGGCAAAACACCAAACACAAGCACAACCCACATTGTGTAATTGATAAATAAAGAAACGAATAATAAATCAAGAATTAGCCAAGAGTGAGTTTTGATGATACATACGACAAAAGCATAGTCTCGCTTCATATCCACGTCACGTACTCTGCGGAAATGGTTTGCCACAAACAGGTAAGGCCATCAAAACTACTTACGAACGAACTGCAGTGCATGAAACTTGGGGGTCCTCAAGACGGGAACTAAACACCCAGTTTGATTGTTTGTTGCAAATTCCACAAAAAACATGCAAAGACAACACAGAAAATCGCCAAAGGCTTCTTTCTAACAACGGCAAGAAAATCCACCAGGTCCACCCATCTCACCATGGACCACCTCAGGTCAGGAAGGTCCACCCTCCGACCATTTGACCACCATGTAAGGGAAAGGCTCACAAAAACCTTCAATAGAACCATTAAAGTCAAACTCAAAAGGAACCTGGGGATTATCGTTCCTTCACAAAAAACATGATGACAAAGATGTGCCCCAAGCAAGGACTGTGAAGGAAAAGCACTTGTGTCCCTACCAAAGGTGAGAATGGAATCCCTAAACCAATTGGTTTCTGATTTACATCAGAGGGAACAGGACAATCACCCAGGATGATGGCATCCAGTTAAAGTTTTGAAGAAAAAAAGGTCAATTACCATGTAACTGTTCTCAACCAAAAAAAAAAAAATCCAGCAATTACAGTCATTGCATTTCCCAGATGTGAGAACCACTATGACTAAATTATTCAGCAAGAATCACCTTCACTAAATGGAAACACACTAAAATTTGTTACCATCACCAAGAAAGTCAGGCAAACATCTATTCACAGCAGATAAAAGAAAAATACGGCATCCAAAATAGCAACACCATATCAATTAAGTAGCCCAAAAAGAACTTTAATGACCCTAATTATCAAACAATCTAACCGCATAACCTATTTGAAATTTAGCAGTAGAACAGTTTAAAAAAAAAATCACATAGAAGTTGTGCCACAAGAGAGATGCTGCAAGTTACCTTCCATATCTACTGAAAATGTGCTCCAAATCCCGCGAACGGGTTCTGGAAGACAAGTGGCCAACATAAAGGCGAGTAGTGCTGCCATACCTATCTTCGTAACGAGGCATTGTCCAGCTGCAAGACGAAACATTTAAGGTCAACAAGACAACAACCAGAAGAATTGACATCGCATACAAGCACAAAATGCATCCGTAATAACAACAGAACAGATTATAAGATTAAACAAACTGCAAATACAGATCTTCTACACTGAAACCCCTGCCTACCCAGCCACCGACAAAAGATCTCACTCTTGTTTCATTTACGCTAGCCCCAATTTTGGAATAGTAACCCTCTGAGCTTTACTATTCAGATATTAAACAAAATTAAAGCCAATCACGCCACCAATAATTTGAAAATATACAGAGAGATCAAAAGAAGTACCAAAAGCTGTCTACGAGAAGCAAAAAAGCAAGCGGCAAATCAAAATTCACATACAACTAACAAACAACATCAAAAAGTTGGAAAACAGATAAAAATGTACTCATATATACAAGCACACACGAGAGCAAAAAAGCAAGCGGCAAATCAAAATTCACATACAACTAACAAACAACATCTAAAAGTTGGAAAACAGATAAAAATGTACTCATATATACAAGCATACACGAGTGGCGACCGTAAGTGAACACTTACATATAAGCTTTTTTCCAGATGAAATTACCAAATTTCAGACTGCAACCCTAATTTTACGAACAGCGTTAAGAGAAGGAAGCTGCTAGATCCCGATGGTCTTTTATACTGGCCAACCGACATATTGGACGGCTAAGATGTGTTTTCAAAATCGGAGGGTGAAAATTTGATTTTGTAGTATATGGGCCCGGTTGGAAGGCCTAAGGTGTAACCCAGTTTGATTTAAATACGCTCGTACGTCCCGAAAGAAAGTTAAGGTGTAACCCAGTTAGACTAAAATAGAACAGTCTGGCCGGAAACAAACGTCGAATTTACACTGGAAAAATTAGGGAAATTTTTAAGCATTCTAACGATTTTACACTTCATACCAATTAATTATGTATATGCGTAATAGGCAAAAATTAATAACAATTATACTTAAAATCAGTTACAGGTACTAGAACAACCATTCCATATTTGTAGCGCAAAATTTAAGGAGCAAAGATGGAAAGATAATCTTCATTGATACAGATGGGAAAAAAAAAACACGCCGGCGTCGCTCTTCATTGATAGGCGCACCAAAAAAAAAAAATGCCGGCGTCTTCGAACATCTCCGATAGCCTTCACGCGAGCCCGCAAGCAGCCCGACGAAGTGCGAAAAGCAATCGCCATCTCCACCGTCGACTCGAAGCAGGCCGTCACCGTACGAATCGCTTCCCCTTGAGCCGACGACGCCCAATCTCCACCGCCAGAGCCCGACGGATCCCGTCAGACCGCTGTTGACCAATTGATGAACTGATTGGGTACTCATTTGGGACAGATCTTCGGGCCGCCCATCCCGGTTCTTGTGTCGTTGTTTTTATTCTGGCTGACCCTCCATTACTAAAGCCGCAAGCTTTCAATGAGAGTCGTAGTGCTGCTATGAATAATTCGAATAGTTTTCAAATTAATGATTATTTCATAAAATGTTGAACAGGTGAAAGTATATGTGCAATATATTTTGGTATTTGTTCATGGAAATAAACTGCGTAGTTTTAATATTTTTGGTTTATGTTCAACAGTTTATTTTTATTGTGCAGTATAAGTATATTTTTTGTTTATGTTCAGCCTATTTTATCTTTATGTTCAGTTTATTTTTAGTTTATGTTTAGCAATATATTTTTTGGTTTATGTTCAGTATATTTTTGTTTATGTACATATATATACCTAAAAACATAAAATAAGTATGATACCTAAAACATTGGTGTATACCTAAAACAAATAGGTTTATATTTTTGGTTTATTTTCAGTATTCAGTATATATACTGAATATATAACCCATAATCTCAGTATATATACCTAAAATATAACCCAATAAAATGGAACATATATTTTATAGGGTAAATAACTTTTTCTCATCCAAACTATCGCGATTTTCACGGCTTACCATATTAACTATTTTTTTTTACAAACTGTCATACAAACTTCACATTATTTCATCTTGCCCTCTAAACCGAATTTAAAATGGTTTTATCTAGAAAAAAACTGATTTCCGAGAGCATTTTAAGAATTTTATATTTTTTTTTCAGAAGAAAAAAAATAAATTGAGAAACACAATTTTTTATTACAAACAGTAGCTCAAGATTCAATCTTTAAAAATCTGTCAAATCTCATCCTACACCTTAACATAATATCTAATCTGATTAAGTTGGAGTTCAATTTGTAGAATTCTTTCGAGATTGGTCCTCTCACATGCCCCACCAAATCAACAGCTTCTGAGCCGGTTATGCATCTCAACTGCAATTTAAGCTCTTACTCCGTTACACCTGCAATTTTCCGTTTAATCAACAACCCGACTATCAATGGTGTCGTCTATGTTGAACAACAACATCTCGATTGCCGTCTCCGACGACGGATCTGAAGATCCCGTGACTTGCGTGCGGTCTCGGTTCCGCCATAAGCGTAGGAAGCCCTTCCTGAGGGATAGGCCCGAACTGGCCCGAAAATTACTCACGAAGTTCTTCAGGGGTGGCCCACTCTACTGTTGTTCTTCGCCGTCGCTCTCCTATTCTACGAGTCTGTCAAAATTGGGGGCCACGATGGGCGAAGTACGTTGCAAGGTAAGAGCTCGGGAAATGCAAGTTGTCGGAGTATCGGCGGTAAGCCACAGGGGAACTTGAATTTGCTAGAGTTCTCGGAGTTCCTGGCGCTGGTGACGTCGATGCTCCTGCCGGTGAGGTCACCGTACACGGAGGAGCAGCTGAAACACCTCTTTAAGATGTTCGACAGGGACGCCAACGGGTACATCAGGACGTCTGATTACCACCACCCGACCGCCATTAACACCAACACCACCACCTCCCCTGCCCCCAAACTCTTTATGTTTAGTAGAAATTAGGGTTTCAGAAATTAGAAATTAGTAGTTGAGAATTTGACAAATAAGAGGGGTTAGTTTGTTATATTCAAAAAATCTATAAATTATGATTTAGTCCTTTGTACTTTTCGTAATATTTAAAAATTTTGTAATTCCCAAAATGCTCTTGTAAATCAGCCTTTTTATTACAAAACCACTTTAAATACGGTTTTGGTGGGGAAAGTAAAAAAACCATTTAGTTTATGTGGTTGTTTGCAAACAAAAAAAGTTTATATGGCAAAGCGCAAAAATCGCGATAGTTCGTATGGGAAAAACTATTTACCCTATTTTATATACATACAAAAAATAACCCATACACATGTTGGTATATGTACTTATAGATCGTCAGTCAAAATGGATACGCCGTTTGTTTGTTTGTTTTTTTTTTTTTTTTTTTTTTTTTTTTTTTTTTTTTTGTNTTAATGGCGGACTCATGAGCCCTGGCTGCCAATATCGCCGACAGCGGCTTCACCGACAAGGACGAGAGATTGAAGACGGGCTTCAATCTCCGGCAGCAGCTTCACAGCTTCAATCCCATTTTTCTTTTTTATTAATAACAGCCGGCCAGCGGCAGCGGCTCTTGGCCGCGCGAATTTCGGCACACACCTCAATGGAAACGACGGCGGCGGGAAGTGTTCGGGGACCTCAATTCCCAGAATATTGAGTTCGAAGAAAACAACAAAACCATTCCAAACGGAGAGGGAGAGAGACGAAGATGAGAGGGGAAGAGAGAACGAGAGAATTGCGAGAGGGGGGAGAGAGAGCGAGAGAGCGAGACGGAGAGGGAGAGAGAGAGATTATCTTCACCCGTAAAATCAGTAACTCACCTTAATTATCTGAGTATAATTTAAGCCGTCACTATGTAGGTATATTAACAATATTTTAGGCTTAATTTGGTAATTATATAAATATTTATATAATGAGAGTATAATTATAATATAATTACAATGCTGAAGTAGGGGTGCAATTTTATCGAAAAATTATACCATTTAGTCTCAAATCTCATTTTATTTTACTATCTCTCATTTTATTTTAATATTTATAAAGTTTTTTTTTAATTACATATATATTACTCATGTAGTAAATTAAATAATTTAATTAAAAAGTCAACTTCCTAATTTTTTTCCAACAATCTCTTTTAATTCATATAGATTTCATGTGTCTGATTTATGTTGTGTATCAATTTTTGAAGGCTATCTGAGTGTTAATTTAGATTATATGTCTATTTATATGGCTATACCATGCATCAATTTCAAGTATAAATTTCTAAGGACTATCCAAGTCTTAATTTAGATTACGTGTCAATTCATATGGCTATTCCATATGTCAATTTATGTTGTGTCAAATTTCTGGTGACTATTCTATATGTACATTTTTCGCGGCTCAAATATGAATTTAAATTTTTAAAATTTTATCTGTCGACACTAGGAGTTTTAAAATAATAAAACACAAACTTTCTTAATTTATAAACATATTTATAAAATCATTAATTATTTTATTTGTGATCACACTATGAACCACATAGTGTTGTAGCTTAATCTGAAAATATGTGCATTTAACCAAGAGCACCAATTTTTCCTAAATGTGTTTCATTTAGCATTTTAGCTTTTATGGGCACATCTAAGTAAAGTGAACGGAGAGACCACATTGTATGTTAGAAAATTCCAGCCGGTCATAATTTGATGACAGAAAAAGTGACTCCATGTTCGTTCAGCCAACATAGCATGCATATAAAAAGCGCACGTTCCCACGGAAAGAACCGAAACTTGTGTATATTATAAATTCAATATCTGTGGAACAAACAGAAAGGCCAAAGCTACTCAACAATATCAACAAGAAATGAGAACTGTGCCATAGCTAAAAACCAAACCAATCGTTGATCAACAATCATGATTCAATAAAGAGCGCTTCATCAAAGAAATTATGTACTTAAAAACAAGTAACAAGCTGCACCTGAACAAAATAAAAGGAAAAAGAATGATGAGAAAATTGTGAAACGAAGACATTTATATTTCCGGTATCTAGAGTTGAATCCACTGTTAGATGACAATCAACGAGTCTCTAGGAAAAAATCGAAGTGAGAAAAGTGGAAAACACGCACACAAATCTATCCATATAATATTTGCTAATAACTCACAATCCGAACAAAAAGGAGTAGCATTTGGATATCAGACTTCAAAGCTCAAACTCTTCATCCTTAAGAGCCAACTCTGCAGCCTCTTCCTCCTCATTGTCAAGTGCAAAGTACTCGTTTCTCTCAACTGGCCTAAACATGTAAAAGATTATAGCATAGAAAGCAAGGCTAGCAATCTCCTCAGCTGCATTAGCCACCCACTGGTACTTGTAAGCAGAAATGGTCCTCAGTGCAAACACCACAATCCTAGTGAAGTACAAGTACCCAATAACAACAATGTAAAACTGCCTAAAAAGTGTAAGCTTTGCAAGATTCCTAGCAGCCTTCCCATCAGTCTTTGATGTCTCCCTCAAAGACCGAATGGACCACACAATCGGGAAGATAACCGCACAGCAGCATATAATATCCACCAACAGGAAAAGCTGATTCCAAGTTACCCACTCCTTAATAAAGGGACCCGTCTCATTAATCACCATGGATGCCATATTCGTCCAAACTTGCAAAGGGATCACGATCATCAACACTTTTTTCTCCTTCTCCTGCAAAAATGGCTTCAAAAACGACCAACCGGCACCAATCAGCACGATTACAGTGAACAACAGCACGACTCGGAAGAATTGGAAAATGTAGAACAACACATCCCATCCGTGAGCCGTCCCTGTGACCTTCACATAATGTTTATCCTCTGCAGCACAGAGCAAATTCAGCGCCTTCATGATAACAAGTAACCCCATGAGCAAATGTATCCTGTGCACCGACTTCTTGTTTTGCAAACAGATAAAGATCCAATAGGCCAAGAACGCGAAATACAGAACAGAGAAGCAGAAATACAGGGACGGCAGCTGGGTCAGCCCAGCAGATAGATAGTCCTTCACCCTTCCCCGACCGTCGAGATTGTAAAGCTCCGTCCGAACGTTCATCGTCACATTGGACTCAGGTGCGCAATTGGCGAAGAACAGAGAATACTCGTTCGGGGCGGTGATCGGGTACGAGTAGTTGAACGAGGAGTGAGGCGGTGGAGACAGATCGCGGAACGTGAAGAGCTGGTTGATGTACTTGGAATCGAGGACGCAGAAGGAAGGGTTCGATTGGAGCTCGAGGAGGACCTGGATTAGGGATTCTTCGGAGAGAAGGAAGAAACCTAATTTGGAGGCGTCTGGAGAGCCGACGGCGGACATCACGGACACTGAGGAGACGGTGATGGTAGCATGGCCGGTGTGGGTGAACCCGAACCGCTCAAAGAGGATCATGGGCCGCGAATCGGCGAAGATTTGGGGGTTTTTGATCTCGGCGGATGAGAGGGGGATCAGGAGGAGGAAGAGCGGGAGGAGGAGGAGTGGCTTCCTCATGTCGATTGGGCGGCGGAGGGTCAGACGGGCGATCAGGCACGGCGGCGGTGTGTCGGAGGAGGAGATTGCGATGGGATTTGGGGGAGAGGGCGCTTTTGGGGTTAACTAGTCGCCGCCGGATGATATATTTTATTGAAATTTTTTAATAGTGAATACTAAATTTAACGAGCTTGTTATATATGTAACAAACATAAACAGCTCGGCTATTAAAAAATTTATAAATTATTGAACATTTTTTATAGGTCGAAAAATATGCATGGTTTATATATTTAGGTTATGTTTGGTAAGTGAAAAAAGCTAACTTATAGTTTATTTAGTTAGCTTATAAGCTCTCTGTATTCAAATAAGCTTTGTTTGGTAGGACGAGTTTTTTTAAAAACTCGAGCTTATCTCATAAGCTACTTTAGGTAGTTTTTCAAATAAGCTAGTTGAATTTTTTATTTCAGCTAGCTTATCAGCTAATTTTACCAAACACTTTTATCATATAAGTTAGCTTTTCAGCTATAAGTCATAATCTATAAGATATAAGCTAAAAATTTACATATAAGCTATAAGCTAGCTTATCAGCTATTAGCTAGTTTTACCAAACATAGTCTTAATAGTATATTTTTATACGCTTATTTTATTCGCACGTTTGTATTTTTTGATTTTTTTATTATTTCGATAGATTTATTTGTTTTGATGTTTTATGTATTATTTTTCAGTATTATTGAGTATTTTTAGAACGAGAGCCTTGGACGAGATTCACACGAGCAATTTTGGAGTGTCCAATACCAGTTCGTTATTCGTCCCAACATCTGCCAATATTCGGGCCCAAGAAAGACATATAATTTAAGGCCCAACATGATTTGAGTGCAAAGTGGGTGCTAGTGGTTACTTGGATTGGCCAACATGTGTATTAACTATGTGCAATTTGGAGCTGATCACATTTTGGCTAAAAGGAAAAAAAATAGAGCGGCAGCACTTTAATTTGAAGGGCAAGTTTGTGATTGGTTGGAAAATAAAGGTTGCTTATGATTTAATTGTGAGGAGTCGTGAGGGGCGACACGTTAGCAGCGGCCGAAGGATTTATTTGCGGGACTTGTTTGAGGGGATTTAATTTGCGACACGCGAGAAAAAGAGAAGCATTACTTTACGAGACAAAACGCAGGAGGAAAAACTCACGCACGGACTGGGAAGAAAAGAACACACGCGGAAGCAAGCACACCAGGGAGATAAAATTCTCTCACTTCTATCTTTATTTATTTTCACTAATATGCTAGGCTAGATTTTTATCCAGTTTTAGACAGTGTTCTAAAAGTCCCTAGGCGCTGGTCCGAGCCGTCTAGGCGGCGCCTAGTCGGGGCCTACAAATCAATATTTACCTACGAAATAAAATTATCTCAACTTATAATAAATTCACACACCGAAGTCCAAATAATAATATTAATATATATTAAAAAAATAAAAACAAAATAATGTAATTAGTATTTACAAAAATAAAAAAAAAAATTGAAAAATTGCCGCCGAGCCCGCCAAGCCCGCCTAGGAGCGCCTAGGGCCGCCTAGGTCCGCCTGACCGATTTTTTTTGCCGATTTGTGTAAATCGGAGGCGCTCGGGCACCGCCTAGCGCCTAGGCCGAGTTTTACAACAGTGATTTTAGGGGATGTTTGAACCCTAACTTTAATTTATCTATGAATTGAAGGATTTATTTTAATCGTTGGTTAATTAAGACGTCGTATTTATTTTTGTTGATGAGTTGATTCATGCTATCTGTGCATAATGTTTATGAATTATGAGTATTTGATTTAGTTTGACCAACTACGTTCAATGTTCATAGTTTAATTGCTAGATTCGGGACTTTAATTCGTAATTGTTATTGTCTTATTTCGTTAGTAGTAAACTAGGGGTCGTGTATCTCTAGGGTAGCGTGAACATAAGTTAAATGGTCCGAACTTACCTGTCCGTTGCTTAGACTAATCTATTATCCTAAAAATTAATGCTGCTAGTGCACTAAATCTAGAGAGCTTATTCTAGGTTGTCCACTAGTTAGGTTTAATCGAAGAGCTTATTTCGATTAAATATTAAGTAAGGGAACATTAAGTTAACAGAGCTTGTTGTTAGCTAGGATTGGTAATTCGTTAGCAATTTTTTTAAAAAAAAACGTCAAAATTAATTAATGGTAGATTTAGATTGGGTGATAACTGAACCAAAAACTGGACTTCTCTTGTTTTATTTGATTTTTATTTTATTTTTTTAGTTTTATAAAATCAATCTCCCCTTATTTGCCTTCTTAGTTTTAGTTCAATTAATACGAAATTATCACAATTTAGTTCTTGCTCCTCGTAGGATTGACCCTTGCTCGCCATTACTACTAGTTAGTAGGGGTTAGTTAAGGAAAATTTTATAAATTTAAATTTTCCGCATCGCGACGCGCGGTCAACTTTCTTATACTCAACGTTTATGGTTCGATTTGGTGGCGAGTCATCATCAGCACAAACTAATATTTTAAAATCACTTTGATTGGTAATACATGAGACAACAACATATAACTGCCCATGGTTGAACGCCGACTTCTTAAGAAATAAACAAACATGCGATAACGATTGTCTCTGGCTCTTGTTGATAGTCATGGCGTACGAAACCACTATTGGAAAATGTCGCCTCTGGAAACTTGAAGAGAGTTCTGACATCGAACGGAGTTATAGTCATCCTAGGAATCAACACCTTCTTGGCAATGTGATTCCCAATTAGTATCTTACACTCAAAAATATGAGTGGAGAGTTTTGTGACAACCTGCCGCGTCCCATTACATAGCCCCATAGAATGATCCATGTTTTGCAACAACTCGTGTATAATAATAACTTTTTTTTTTTTTTGTAGATAACAAATTTCATTTTTGATAATCATCATATATATTGATTCATGTATAATGATTGCGTTCTAAGTTCAACACACAAATAAAATGCATGTATTGAAAATTAAATATCTGACCCAACATGCAACAACAATCGGGCCAAGAAAATACATACATTCGGCAGAAATAAATTATTTACACAACTCAATAAAACTAATAGACTTATTCATAAACAGTTGTGCAAGGCAATATTTACTTTTTGCTCGATAGAATTAAATAAAAAGCGTACATATTCCCTAATGTTTGTCAGCTCAATATGATGCATAAATCTTAATCGAACGACTAATATAAATACACAGAAATCGAATGGATATAAAAGAAATTGAATCAGAAATAGGGCTTCATTACAACATGATACGTGAGAAATCTTGTATTATTTTGTGGTTTAATTTATATATCTGAGTACTTAATTTAGTGTATTATTCAAGTTTTCTCACGTATTTTATTTTGTGAACGGACATACGCCAATATTCGGGCTGTGTGTCTATTTTGCAGTTTATAGACTATTTAATGATATGGCTATTTGAGATGTGGCAATGATGAGGTGGCTAATTAAATAAATAATGAGGAGGATTACAAGTTAACTTGGTCAAATACACGCAGCATGGGGCTCTCAAAATTGAATGGTGGGACTTTTGATTAGTGATTATTATTATTGGCTAGAGGATGGAGAGTTTATGGCACTTGGACTCTAAATAAGTTGGGGTCTGTGACTTGACCGAGGAATTGAAGGAATTGGAAAAAAATGGGACTCTTATCCTAATCTTAGTGGAGGGAGCAATTGAAAAAAAAAGACATCTTACGGGGACTTATTCTTCTTGCACATGAACAGAGAGAGCTACGAGGAATTATTTTGCCGTGAAGATTAGCCGTGGGACTTCATATTTCAAGGAGTTTGATAACTATATTATTTCGTTTTATTTTGCTTTTTCTATCTTATTTGAAGAACATGTTGAATTATTATTTTTGTTTTGATTATTTAGCTATGTGTAGCTAAACACTTATTTCGGTTCTAGGGACGTTGAACACTCGATGATTATGTTCGATTAATGCAATTTATTTCATTTTCACTTGCCGTATAAAATTGTTTGTGTTATTCTAGTTACATGCCATAATATGTGTTCTTTAATTTAGCTTGATCACCTAGGTTGAGGATTGCATGTTAATTGCTAGATTTACGGCTTCAATCCGTAATTGTCGTCGTTCTTAATCGTTGGTAGCAACTAATAGTTGTGCACTGTTAGGGATAACGCAACATAAGTTACATGAACCGAGCTTATGTGTTTGTGGCTTAGATCGGTCTATTTTCCTAGTTTTTAATGCAACTAGTGGATAAAATTATGAGAGCTTATTCCGAGTTGTTCGCTAGTTAGATTTAATTGAAGAGCCTGTTTCGATTAAGTAAAATTAAGGGAAAATTCGGATAGTAGAGCTTATTGCTATCTAGGACCGGTAATTTTAGAAGACAAGTGAAATTTGATAAGTGTATTAATTGGACTAGTTAATCGAGAGTGTAGACCGACCTGGGACCGATTTCATTCTCGTATTCATCAGATTATTTTTTTATTTTCAATTTCATCATCATTTGCATTTAAATCATCCGTCTCTAGTTTTAGTTTAATTTCTCTTTTTGTTAGTAGTTTCGTTTTTAATCAAACCCCCTCATTTTCGCTTAAATCTAATTAATACAAAATAATTACGGTTTATACCACACTCCCTGTGGGATCGACCCTTGCTCGCCACTACTACTAGTTAGTAGGGGTTAGACGAGGAAAATTTATAAATCTAAATTTGTCGTGTAACGACGTGCGGTCATAACACATCCATATCCTCCGCTTCACTTTGAGAAAATATCAGCAAAATTTTAAGGTCATTTCTGATCTATTTTCAAAAATATTTCAACGATCTATTTTTCAATTTCCGAAAAAATAGCTATATTCTTGTTTGATCTAATATTTTTGGACGACGAAAAAATAATTTTTTAGCCATTTTTTTGCGTTAGTTTTTAGTTATTCCGACTGAAACAATTCGATTTTATGGTTTCTTCATCGAATTTGAAACTTCCATGATCGAAATTCTGCAACTATATTCGAAATCCTGCAA